TTTTCCTTTGTAAAGTAGACTAGTCATAGTTGTATAAATAGCACATGGTGCTCACATTGATTCATCCAGAACATATTTTGAATTATGCATCCTTATTTTATGAATCTGGTTGATTTCCTTGCTTTTGTGGCTATTCAGAACATTAATCTATCTTCATAAATGATAATGAGTTCTAATGGATTCTGATGGATCCTGATGGATCCTAATGGATCCCAATGGATCCTAATGGATCCTGATGGATCCCAGGATCCACCAGGATCCGCTTTTCCCCCCTTGGTCCCTAGACTACTATCTTTACTCTCATTAAGTTGTCTTCATTCGCCTTGCTTTCTAACGGGTGTACCAGAATAAATGACGGTCTTAGCATTTTCTCGATACCTCACTCAGTTTTAATTGTTTAGAATTGTATTTTTTCAAAGGATTCACTGCTCAATTCTCTACAAAACCATATCTAAATAGACATCATTGAGATAAAACTAAAAGCGTTGCTGTTTTAATATTGGGAACGTACAGCATCAACAACTTTCAAATCACTTCTATTTAGATGGATCTTCGTTATTTCCTACTAGTAAAACGCTGTTCAGAAGCTTCAAACCAGTACATTTATAACACAATTGTGTGTGCTCTATCTGGTATAAAATACAAGAGAGAACATTAGAAATAACATGCTAACTAAAAATATTGGCAAAAGATCCAGTTTGTGGACAACTGTTCCGAATGTGACATAGTTGAGCCTCCTTGCTGAACCTAGTCTATGAGAAAAGGCATCTATTCAGAATAAAATTAGGGTTCGATTATATGATTCGGTAGCTTTTAAAGAAAAAAAGTTGAAGCGAAAAAAATTTTTTCAATCTCGTGAATCACATGAAATTTTCAAGCACATAAAAATCTACGATAGAAACGTGATTTATTCAAGATTTGAAAAATAGTAACTCTTATTTCGTACGATTAGTTTTGCTATGAAAATCTTTGAATATATGATTTAAGATAAAGCTTTGGAAGTTCTACAAAAAAATTGTTTTTTATTTTTGAAATTTGTTGATGTTGCATGTTCCAAATATAATACAATAACTTTTTTTAGTCTCATCTCAATGATGTCTATTTAGATATGGCTTTGTAATAACAAGAATTATAATGAACGGCAACATCTCATATATCTCTATTTACTTTCTATTGGAAATTGATACAATAAACACTCCATATTTTACAACAGTTTAACCGAAACAAATAAAAATCGAATGCGCTCTGAAACACAAAAAAAACCCACATTTTGATGCATTAAAACTTTTAAAAGAATAGTTAAACATTTAAAATTTGAATCCATAATAAATCATGAAAATAAATAAGATATTCTTTTTCTATGATGAATGCTTTAGAATTTTTTATTGCTTCATTATGCGGACAATAGCTGCCTGAAAAAAATCAAAACTAATCAATCATATAGTATTAATACTATGTATGCATATTTCTTTTTCTTTCAGCTTGAAGATGCTCAACGACATGAACAAAAATTAGAAGAAGCCAAGCAAATTATAATCAAAGAAGATAAATCCTTTCCAAAAGCAGAAGTGGTTCGTTCTTTCGTTATTTGATTCTAGAAAACAAAATCATATTACATATGAATTATATTTAAAAAAAAACAGATCACCCATGTCGTCGATTTTCGATCGAAACCGGCGGTTACCGGTGGTTCATAAGAAAACCGCCGGTTCAAAGCGGTTCTTGTTCGTTTATCGATTTTTTAATAATTTTTCTTCTGAAGTAATATTTTTAGTCTTGAAGAAATCGATTGCAACTGAAAAAAGTCTAAATAATTATGTAACAGTAAAATTCTATCAGATGGCACTAATCATTTTTGATATTGGTTAAGTTATCTCGCGAATAACTATTTTTATAGCGCCATCTTTAATAATAATCTAAACTCGAAAACCAAGAAAATATAGAAGATGTGGCTGGTACCGGCGGATTCAGCACGTTTGCATATATAAGGGGCGACGATTTCAGTATAATTCTAAAAATGTTGTAAGAGTTTAAAAATATTCATGCACTGTAATACACGAAAAAATTTAGCTGGCGAACCACGGTTAACCGGCGGTTTTCTGGCGGTTTGAGCGACTTGGGCAAGATCAAACATGTTCGAGATCATCATTATAAATGAGTGAAAATATTTCGATGGGTATATCGAATTCGAAGACAAGGTAAATCATAGAAAATATAGTATTAATGCATTCATTTTCTTTTGATTTTCCTAGGCAAGAATCTTACATCTATCATTCTACGTGATGGAACAGGCTTTATGCAATGTATATTAACAGAAATTCTTGTAAATAGTCTCTTTATTTTCTATCTACCTTGATCATTGTTAGCGGTGATTCACCCTCATCCTTCCCTTGATTTCTTTCTCTTCTTTTTCTTCTCTGGTCACTGTTATTGTTATTGTTATTGTTATTATTGTGTTTTTTCTTTTTTTCTTTCCTCTCTCTTCTCTATCTCTATTGTATGTTGTTATATATATATGTACGTGTTGTTAAGGACATTTTAAGAAGATATAAGGTGCACGTAATGCAAAATTTCAGCAGTTTTATTTTTTCATTCATTCATATATGGTTTGATAGAGCTGGACGAGCTGATCACGAATATATAGTTTTTATTTCAATCACATCATTTTTTGCTATAGAAAAAACTGAAAGACTGTCATGACGAAAAATGTCACTTTGCTAAGGTCATAAAAAATGAGCTCCACACGTAAACTCCAAATTTGGAGCTCACTTACGCCTCCATACTTTACCAATGATACAATCCATGTTTTCTGGTTAACAGCAGTTAGACCCCATTTCACTGAGATACTAGGTTGAGAGTTAGATCTGATGTTCAAAAGCTATACTACCTATGACACTATTATAATAGCATTACCTGGGATGCTAGTAGCATTACCTGGGATGCTAGAAGAATTACCTGGGATGCTAGTAGCATTACCTGGGATGCTAGTAGCATTACCTGGGATGCTAGTAGCATTACCTGGGATGCTAGTAGCATTACCTGGGATGCTAGGAGCATTACCTGGGATGCTAGAAGAACTACCTGGGATGCTAGAAGGATTACCTGGGATGCTAGTAGCATTACCTGG